CCCCCCCGGTCCCCGGGGCCGGGCGCGCGTGCCGATGCGCGCACCCCGGCTCCCGTGGCGCGGCCGGCGCACACGGCTGCCGGCCTCCGGCCTCGGATACGGCGCAGCCGGGCACCCCCCTTTCAGACCTCGGCCGGCTGCGGGGCACACACACACACACACACACACACACACACACACCAGGGGCCAGCCACGCCGGGGCGTGCGCCCAGTAGGGAGCAGGCGGGAAGGAGGGGAGGGCAGAAGCCCGGGGGCCAGATCGCGGCTGCGGGCCGGCGCACTCGTCCCCTGGCGGCGAGGGGGCGCCCCGGCTCCGGCGCCCATCCTCCCTTCACATGTGTCCCCCGGCGCCCCCATTCGGGCCCCGGGCCGATCGTGGATCCGGCGGCCTGTGCTTCCTCATCCGCCCCCCACCCGCGGCCCCTCCTCCCCGCGGACCCCCCCCCCCCCTCCCCCCCCCGCGCGCGCCCCGGGTATGTCCCTCGATGATCGGGCGGGCTCCGGGAGGCGGGAAGCACACACACACACCCCCGGGGATGCTCCGTGCCTTGGCCTGCGCCCTGGCATTTTTCGGCCGCCTCCGCCGGGCCGGGGAGCCTGCTCATGGTCGAATAACCAACCTCATTCCCTCCCCCCCCCCCTTCCCGCGGCTAGCCCTGCGTACACGCGCGCGTCCCCCTCCTCGCTCTCCCCCCTTCCGCTCTCGCGGCCCGACCTCAGACTCCTGTGTGCGGCCCCCCTTGTGTTGCCTGGCCCCTCGCGCTCTCCCCATCTCTCCTTCGTGCGCGCGCGCGCGCATCCCGCATACCCACAGCCATACACCCACTCGAGCACACGCACGCGCTTTCACCCGCCATCGTGTGAGGGCCTGCCCGCCTCACATCCGCCAGCGCTCCCCAGCGCCCGCCGACCCTCCCACCCTCGGCGCTGCCGATGCACCGCGGTCCACCAGCAGGGGAGCCAGCCCACCTGCCGCTACCATCGCCCCGCCCAGCCGCCGGCCCCGCCTCCTCCACCCCCTGTGCCCGCCTGCCGGCCTGCCCGAACGCCCGTCGGAATCCTGGGCCCCGGGGAAAATGTACTTCCTCGACCTGACCGGTATGTGAGCACGCTCCCCCTGCACTGCCTCTTCTCCGCGCCAGGCCCCCGGGGGTCGGCATGTCTCTGACCCGTGACCCACATCGATTCCCCGACAGTTGTCGAGATCCAGGACCTGCCCTACAAGCAGGAGTCCTTCTTCCGGAGCTCGTACCCGGATTGCTACGTCAAGCTGTCGCTCGACAACAAGACCCAGCGCTTCACCACCAACATCTGCCGGCACACCACCAGTCCCGCCTGGGATGAGACCTTCCAATTGTGCGCGCCTCTGGCCCGGTCCGCGTGGCAGGCAGCCCGGCTCGCCGTCTCGCACGCCCGCCCAGTCACTGACCCCTCCCCCCCCCTCCCCCCGCCCCCTTGCCACCGGGCCCCGGGTGTTCCATCCACGCCCCTCGGTGTCCCCTCTCGGCCTGCCCTGCTCTCGTCCCCTCGCGCGGCACGCCCACATGGCAGCCACCTCTCGGCCGATCACACGGTCTCGCTGAAGGTGTGCACTCGGAGCTCCATCGGACCGGAGCGGTGCATCGGCTTTGCCAGCCTCAGCATGCGGTACCTGTTGAACTTGCACGGCGACCCGCGCACCACGCCCGGCTGTGTCCCGGTCCAGCTCTCCCACCAGTGCGTCGGCCTCCCGGCCCATCTACATGCCCCTGTGGGCGACCGCGCGCGCACCGCCCCCC